CACTTGCGCCTCCGAATTCAGAAAGCTGTGTGTTCAAGTCCCTATACTGACCCTCTAATTCAGTGCTAGGATTGCGCAGCATTGTTGGAGGTGCCGTCATTCAGAACAGACGTTAAATCGAGGCTCCGTCTGCCAGTCCAGCTGAACGTTAAAGATCCCATAGCACTATTCGACAAGAGTTTCTCCCAATGTCCTCGCCAAAACTCCCCCAAATAATATTCACTCTGTGGCTGATTGTGGGACATTGCTGTGTGCACAAATTGGCTGCCACATTTGCTCACAAAATAGACAGCCACGCTATTTTACAGTATATCCTGTGAGAGCTTTGAGTCGTCTTGACGATGTGAAAGACTCGATACCAAATGTAAAGATTTCCCTACGTATTTGCTTTATACCTGCCAGCAGATTTATAAAAATGTATGGAAAGAAAAGTTTCAATTCTCCTCCCATTGTTTCTCCTGGTTTTCTGGCCAACATTTCCCCAATGTAATTAGTCACTTACTTCAAGGCTGCTTGTGGGACATTGCTGTGCTTAAATTGGCTGTTGATTTGCCCACAACGCACACAGTCGTTCATTTTAACGTAGATCCTGTGAAGTGCTTTGAGACGTCCTGAGGTGAAAGGTATTTTATCAAATGTAAGGATTATTTTCCTATCTATTTTTCTTTCAGTCTTTTATTGTCTAACCTTTGGGGTCATTGGTGATAGTGTTGTCCCTTCACATTGGTTTCTCAATTTTAACAAATGTTCTTGCTAAAACTGCAATTATCTGAATCGCTGCAGGTACCATCAGGACCAAAAAGCAAAAGGAATATTTTAAAAATGATAAAGTCTATCTACTAAACTATCTACTAAAGCTGCAACGTTAAAGGAAAAAAAGTTTCTATTCAATAATAATAATCCTGCTCCTGTGCGCAATTGGCGTTTATGCCTGATTAATTAAAGATTTTGCTCCAATCACATAGTAATGTTGGCACCACCAAAATAGCCCACGTTTATGCCTACATTTCGCCCACAAAATATATGGTCAATTCACTTTACGGTATATTCTGTGAGGGCTTTGAGACGTCTTGAAGACATGATAAAGTGCTATACCAAAAGCAAGGATTAATATTATTACTATCCATGCATTTGATATTGCACCTTATCATGTCGTTGAGATTCTCAAAGCGCTTCACAGAATATACTGTAAAGTGAATTGACTATATATATATAAATACATGCCTTTATGCCCTCACGTTGAGCGATAAATAGTTTGCAAAGCAGATCCTTCGTTGTATCTATTTTTCCTGTGAAAGAAGGGTTTTAGCAAACACAACAAAACTGTCCACAAATACTTATTAACCCACGCAAAGAATTATCTGTAATCTGCCAGGTGTAATTCGAGTACAGGACCAGTTAAAGGATTTGGGTGTTTAAGTGACCCAATTGCCAGACTAGGTAAGAGACACTCATTAGGAATGACAGTCATTGATTTCATTCAATAATGAAGCTCTTTTGACAAATTTGAGGGTAAAAACGTCTGTAGCAGCACAAAGCATCGTTGTCCTTGCTTCTGTAGCTTATTTCAAGCAGGATGGGATTTTGGGATTCAGTACGCATGCTTTTGGCAGAGAATTCCTTTTATATTTAGAGAATTGGAGTTAATGTTACAGTAATAAAGTTATCCTGACAGTTGACTATTGTAGCTTTATTACTAAGATGAGTTGATTTATCAGCATGACAGCTGAAAACTACAAAAAACAGTTTGACAGAACCCTGCAATAGTCATGGGTTTAATGAATTGTTTCCCTTATTCTGTATCACAGTTATAGTAGATAGCAATGTATTCAGACCTAATTTTATAAAACATCAGACTCTCCTGGTAAAACACATGAATGTTCCGTAAAACGTCTTTGCCTCCCCTTTCCCCAAGTACAATCAGTGAGATCCAACACACAATGTATTCGAATGGCACTGAATTCATAATGATATTTTTCATTAATAGTACAAAACAAAGGTTGATTAGCATTGGCAGGGTTGAACCCCAGTATTCCGTGCACAGAATTAACCGTAGTATTCCTCGCGTGAGATCAACTTGTGCCACATTAAAAAAATTGGATTGTCACACGGTAAAACAAGATACAGACAAGGTTAACAACAATAGTTTTTTATATTTCATCAATCAAGAAGTTCAGATAGCTTATATGTAGTATAATGAACATCTAAACTCTAATTGAAAGATTTTCGAAAGCTGAACATGAAACAAAAGCAAAAGATTAGTGGCTTAAATTAATTGTCACTTGAACCCCAAGCTGAAATTAGTGCTGGGCATTTATTTCTTTCCTAAAAACACACGCTTCACAGTACAAGCGAATTGACTGTATATTTTGTATTATAAGATTGTTACCTGTGGTCCAGTGTTCTCAGTAAAGTTATTATGAGATATGTGTTTGAAATGGGTAATCCACAAAATATGTGCAGGGAACATATCTATCACACTAATTCTGAATGTGTTAGCAAGACAAGACTAATCACAGCATTTAACTCAACAGCATAAAACATCTGATGTCAAACTGGAAAGCAACTCCGGTCAAATAAATCTTTAGCTATCTGTCAATCAACTTTGACTAAAGGAATGAAGAAAGAAAAATGCACAGCACAGGAGAATTAGTGCTTGGTTTCAAGTCTGATTTTGCCTTGCCATTTTTTAAAGCTTTTGTAGATTGCAGTAACATTTCTAGTGTATATCTCAAAATAAGATTAAAAATGAGCCATATATCATCGGCACCTTTTATAATAAAATATTCAAAAACTTGCAAACAATTCGGCTGAAGGTTTCTTTGCTTTGTTCAGTCCAATTCGGATTCGCCCACAGAATATACAGTCAATTCATTTTACAGTATATTCTGTGAAGGGCTTTGAGATGTCTCGAAGACATGATAAGGTGTTATATCAAATACAAGGATTATTATTAATTCTGTCATTCTTTGCTTTTCACAGTATTACTAATATCATCATTGCATAGATTTGTTTAAGAAAAAAAACTTACTGAACCAATCTATGAAGGAACTAAATTATTATAGAGAAATGGCCATAAACCTACAAATCATTCAGCATCAACTGAGCTCATTCACTCTGTTGGCCTCAGAAAGAGTTCTGAGCAAATGATATTACCGCTTGCTTCTTAAACGAAATTATTCTACAAATGGATTGCGATGAGGAGAATAAAAACTGCTAATACTGTATTCTGAAAGGGATCTTTTACAGCAAACCTCCGCGAGACTGGGATTACCTAGGTTTGCTTTAAGTCTTAGTAACCATAGACTGAGGTTTATTTTTGCATTATTTTGAAAGTTATTTTGTTTTTTGTGAGCATTGAGGAGTGCCTATTTCAGACAGGGAAAGATCCTCTCATTGGGTAAAGAAGTACAGTAACTGGAAAAGGTGCTTTCAAACAGAGATTACGGTTTTACCATGTAATCATCTCCTTTGTAAAATTGGCGTAACAGTGACAGAAAGGGAATATTACTTCATGTTTTGACTGCCTTCTCCACTCTCACTCATTGCTTCCCAACTACCTCACAAAGTGGTCCTAAGAATGCACTTTCAGCACAGAAGTAAATATAACAACTGTCAGTAAAATTATAGCATTGTTTGCATTATTTGCTAATTGCATTTACTTTAATTTGGCAGAAAGGACAGTATGTTACGGGGGTGTTAAAATTAATTGTTAATTTAGAGGCTTGCAGGTTACAATTCACAGGCTTGACTTGACACACCAACCCAGGTACCTTTTTGCCCGTTCATGGTTCAGATGCTGGATGCCGTCTTACATAATAATGAAGCCAGCACTCAATCTAGATGAGTGAAAGTGGGGGTGGGAGGAAGAGAGGGAAGATGTCAATGAGGACTCTCCTATCCCAAACAAATTCATAGATTTGTTCCGTCCAGTTTTTCACCGGATTCCGTCGACTGTACTTCTCTTGTGTTATGATGCGTAGACTCTAGTTATTAAGGCCTTGAATGAATTTTCGGCATCAGCAGAGAAAAGATCAGAACTCAAGCTATGATTCAGTTTGCTATTCCTGCCCTATTTGTTTTTGGAAAGTGGAACAATGTGAAGCAGTCCTGACAGTAACTGCAGCACTTCTCCAGATTGTGTCCTTCAGGAAACGATAGTAAAGCGGTGAGAATGGTGAAACTTAAAAATGGCAGTGAATGTAGAATATTGAACAATTTAAATGGAACAAAAGGATTGAAAGCATATGGTCAAACACCCATCGTACTGGACCACTTTGCCCCTATAAGTTTTACTTTTTACGGCAATTTCACACAAATTACATGAGGCAGCTCTGCCGTATTTAAAAAGCAACAACTGTGCAAAACAGAAACTTTTCATGGCATAAAAAACACTGGTAATGGAATTATGTGATTCAGCTGACATTTCCTTCCTGTGTTAACTCGTAACCAGACTTCTTATAAGGAAGTGACAAAGTTGATGGATTAGAACAACAACATTACTGCAGCTAAGAACCGTTTCCTTGCTGGGATTTCAACTGTCTGGAAAGTTTTCCCGCTGTTTGTCCAGTTAGGACCACTCTACCCGTTAGGGCTTTGGCTTGCCGGATTAGCAGGAGCTGAGTGGGATGACTCCCTGCTTCCAGTGACTGCCCTTCCATGTCCTGCTGATGAGCCAGGCTGGCTGTGCTGTCATCAGCAGTAGCCTAGAATACTGCTGACCCACCTGGCTCAGGAACCGGACCACCGAGACCCCCACAGAGGGCTGCCTCGATTCCAACATTCTGTTGCCAAGCATGTCACCTTAGAGCCAATTCAGCTCCAAGGAGACCCCACTTACCTCCCACCAAGTATATTTAATATTCAACTGCAACCGTTATATTCAATTAGAATTCTGAATCGGTCAGAATCACAGAGAACAAGTTGAAACCCACGAACGAACTGAAAGATTTTTACTACATAATTTTTAAAAAAGAAATGTTTTTGATCTGTTCACTAACCTTCTGCAGTAATAAGGAGCCTGAATATTTTGTTACAATGACGTTCAAATCCTCACCAAAGGCAGAGGCCCATAGTTTCACCCTAATTGATAAAAAATTGTAAACATATATTTGCTGTGCACCAAAGAACAATTACAGGATATGCAGAATAGCTTTTGAAAAAATACGAAAAACCTTTTTCTTGCCAAAGGGCCTTTTAACAACTTATATTAAGTCCTTATACACATTACACTTTTCCTGAATGCTCATGTTACCTCGATAGAATTACATGCCAATTCAAATTACTCATCTTTGAACTAATAAGTTAATTTGCTTAAGAGGTTTCAATTTTTAAGTGGATGAACAAAATCCAGTATTTTGAGGAAGTAAATAATTACGAACACAAAATGCACAAACAGTAAAACTGCTCAAACTATTTCTTAGAAATAAAGTCTGATTCAGTGTGCTACAATTAATCGTAATATAGATATTTATTCTGTAATGTAATGAAATCAAGTGCTTACGTTTCAGTTGGTATGCTCTGAGCTTTGACTGAATAAAAGAAACAACAGCTGGAGTAGATAATCCACAGAAAACCCTGCAGGTTCAAACTGTTCCTGGAGCAGCATCTGAGGTGCAGTAACATTCTCTCTTCTGTCAGACCAAAAATAAATGTTGGAAATACACAAAGAAAGAACAAACTGGCCACCTCAGTCTGAAGGTCAGAAAGGTCCAGAGAGGTTGTTCAGATCTTCACATGTTGACCTGAAGTTGTGTTGTCGTCGTAATGACCACTGCTTCTACAGTGAAAAATAAGAATCCCTCAATGCTGAGTCACACATTTTTGTTTTCCATTTACTGTAGTGTACAGAGTGCGGAATTCCCTGCCTCTGGGCGTCAACTGTAAACACTGATAACAAGCTAACACAAAATAAAGATCATCTGTGTATGTCTGTACAGCTCATAATACAGATAGCATCAATTCATTTCCACTACAGGCTGTGGGGAGGGGAAGGAAAGGAGGGACAGAAAGGGAAGGAAATACAGCTAGAATTCAAACTTTGCTGAATCTTGATGTGAATGGTCTTCAGTTTTGAAAGCTTGTTACAAACTGAGCATGTGGGTCTTTTAACTGGAGTGAACAATGAAAGAGAAATAGCTGCAACGTCATAGCTAGTGTATAATCCGACCAGATTTAATCCATAAATGGTGCAGGTTTATGGTGGGGGAGGGAGAGGCCAGAGAGAGGGAATCACACTGGATTACTCTGATTTCTGGAGACAGTTCTGCCTATCCAATCAAAAGGTAGACATCTTGATAAGTCTTTTAAATGACTGAGTTGAGGAGGGGTGAGGAGAGGGTTGGTGTTGGGCTGTGTCCGTTTGGCCCATTGCTCAATCTTTATCGTCCTTTCTGCACTTAATGACCCAAATCAATTATAAATTATAGCGAAATAATGCTTTTGATATCATCCAATCAGCAGTGAAGCAGAACGTAAGCTTATTTGAACCAAAAATATCAGTTCAATGCTGCAATACAGCCGTACGGAACATACCTGGCCTGCAAATCAGTCGACAATAGCGACAGGAGTCGTGTAGCGAAGTGGTTAACTCGCTCACCTCACAAGCAAGAGGACTCAGGGATGAAACCTTAGGCAAGTTTCCTTACTCCAAATGCCTCTATTCATCCAGCAGTAATCACGAACCCAGTTGTTAGTCAATTGGTAGATCACTTTCCGGCGAATTGGTTTCTGCCAGTGTGGATAGCAAGTGGTCTGGTCTTCTCAGATATTCCTTGACACCATGATACACTGCTTGCTATCTGAGGGTGCGGTTACTGTGTGGGCAGCAGCTTCTTCACTATAACAAATTCACGCACCAGGTATTGACATTGCGTGAATGGCCATCTTCGGGTACAAAGGGCAACCATTTATTTAAATCAGGCAATAGATCTGCATTGCTGCATATAGTCACTGATTTGCCCGCACCAGTCCTATGTGCTGAACGTTAACATATCTGGAAAGGATATTTCTCAGAGAAAAGTACCAAATTCACAAAATCAGCAACAAAACTCTTGATGTTATTTCAGTCAGATTCCTTTGGAAATATATGTTGGTTTAGCCTTTTCTCTTTTTGCCCTTCGTGGGGACTGAGTATATTATATTGACTTGTGAGTCTGACCTGAAATTTATTCGGCCAGCTTTCTTTCAGCAATCAATTGTATTTTACAGCTGGTGACAACATATCTTTAAACATTCCGAGACACCACCTGTGTGAAGGATGCTATGCAAATGCAACTTGATGTTGTTGTTGATATTTTATTTACATCTTTATTACGTTAGGAGATATTTTCCTCTGCGGCCTTCCTCAACTAGTTACAAGTGTAAGATTATTTAGCACAGTTTTAATACAACTAAATATGGTTTTACTTTCTTGTTGTGAAATGAAGTATTTCACGGATTTTTAAAATACTCGGCAAGAACATGTTCTCAAGGTGACAATCAAAGATTGTATTTGGCGAGGTCTGCTGACAGCAAGTCTGATCTATCTGGATTGTTTTAGGTGACAACGAACCCACAAGAAACATTCTATGATTTTAGCGGTCATTATCATCTGAAATGAACAACAAAAAATGTGTAATTTATTTTGGAAAAGCTCGTAATCAATTCTTTCTATCATTTCTCTGTCCTTTCCTTGGCTCTGTGTATCAGAATATAACTTATTGATGTGCTTGTTATTTGTAAATGCCTGATGAGTGGTGTGATCAAGTCCAGGTTAATTTCAAAGTGAAATGATAATAATAATAATAATAATAATAATAATACTTGCATTGAGATCTCTAAAGAGTTTCACAGAATATACTGCAAAGTGAATTGACTACGTATTTTGTGGGAAAAATGCGGCAGCCAATTGGGTCCAGCAATATCCCACAAACAGTCATGGATTGAGTCACAAATTTATTTATTTTGAAGGGATTATCATCCACCAGAAAGCGATTCGCCAATTCACTAACAACCCAGTTCCTACTTACTGTCCAGTAAACAGAGGCATGTGGAGTAAGGAAACTTGCCAAAGGTTTCGCCCTGCCCGGGAATCGAACCCGGATCCTCTCACTTGGGAGGCAAGCGCTCTAAACCATACGCTACAGGATATCTTGAGGATTGTGTACACAAATCCACCATACTGTTGCACAGCCCATTGGTGTTATAATTCCCTGTGGCATGGTGCCACCTTCTAAAATAAACTCCGAATTCATCCCCAAATTACCAATAACTTCTCAATGTGAACACCAGTTATAAAAAACTTCCGTTCTCCATCTAGAATCCTAACTGATTCTGCATGTTGGTGAGCATGGAATATTATCAAAAATGCATAAATATAAAAATCCAAGATTTGGACTCAAAATGTTCATTTAAAAAAAATTACCTTTGTTTTTGAAAGAACTGAAAAAATTACTCAAAGGTAGATGTAATAAAATCATATTGGCGAGGTTAAATTGAGTTCTGCCACAATTTTAAGAGGAACAAAACAGTTAAACTTACTTGTATTTTAATAATAATAATAATCCTTGCACCTTATCATGTCTTCAAGAAGTCTCAAAGCACTTCACAGAATATATATTGTATAGTGAATTAACTGTAGATTTTGTGGGCGAAAAGTGTTTACTATGCAATTCGTCATCATCAGTAAGAAAGTGTCAAATTAAATGCAGCCTCTGCTCATTTTCTCAGAGCTGAGGCACTCAAGTTAAAAGTGCTGAAGGACTTCTTGCTAGAATGGCAGTATATCATTAAAAACTATTTTATTTTCAGTCAGCACCCAGCTCAACACTGTCCAATACTTCCACGTCACCCTGAATCATGTGAAAAGGCTGCCGTGCTTTAACAATGAGTGCTGACAAGTTTAATGCTTCATTCATGCCAATAATCGGGATGGACACTGATGGATTACAAAGTAACACATCTAATTTAAATTGGTTTAAACATTTTGCGGGGGAAGTCGGGAGAGAAAATAGAAGGATTAATATTACGGTACATTTCCCTTAGAACATTTAAACATTGTACTAATCTCGGTTGGAGTGGAAGGATATAGTACCCTGATTTTTTTTAGGAAATAAGAAAATTGAAGATGCAAGAAATCTGAAACAAAATCTAAATTTCTTAAAATCGACAGCTGTTCAATTAGCATCATAAAGAGAACAATAAATTGAAGAACTTGTGGTGAAGGTAACATTTGTCTGATGATGATAGGGCTGAGGCTGTGCTGTATTATCTAGAAGTGAGTGGGGATTTTTGGAGATCAATACTCCTCAAATTGTTAAAAAGACAATCCTGAGGACAAGATTGGGCCCCTATTTGGCCCCGCATATAACTCGTTGATGCTCATTATTCAGGTTCACACAATTGCAGCTCCCACCTATGGAAACATGTCCCAGCACAAATCACCACCTTCAGAAAAGGAGATTTTTTAGGGACGGAAAAAAGTTTATGACTAGGAAAGTTTGCAGTACATAGATAGCCACAAGATGAATTCCATTAAATTGAGTCCTGATGACATCGGTCAAAGTGAGTCCTGTTCTGAACAAGCACATTTCCCGCTGGCCAGAGAGAACAGTACAGCTGAACATGCTGTCTTGTTGGTTAAATAAAAAAAATGATGGTAGAAACTTGTGATGGCTGAAAGGAGAACTAGCTGGGCAAAGCAGAAAAAATACTGTTTCTTAAAACAGGTTTAATTTCAAAGTTGGTGGCCTTCATTGTAAAAATTCACGATGTGCTGTTTTGTAACTTTTAAGTAATTCATTCATTTAAATTGATTAACAATTATGTAGCACAATAAAATGTCTTACAGTAAACTCTGGATAACTTGTCACTCAAAGGGGAAAGGGCTCAGTGACGAGTTGTCCGATATGGTGAGTTAGGCATAGGTCCTCTCTCTTCCTCCAGCTGAATGTTGGCAAGACAGAGGCCCTACTGCTTGGCTCCCGTCAGCGCCTCCTCACCTCAGGCGCTGACAGTATCACTATTCATGATGGCCCTCTACACCACACAGAGCCCATATGGAACCTTGGGTGTCCTGTTCGACCCTCAGCAATCCTTCAAACCCCACATTTGTGCCGTGACCCGTTCCGCCTCTGCAACACTGCCCGCCTCCATCACTGCCCTCAGCGCCGCTCCACTCGCCCCCACAGACACAGCATCTGAGCACGTGTGCCCAATTTACATTGAGGGCCCACATCAGTCACAGGAGAGGGGAGGCCACAGCCAAGTCCTCCAATAATTCAGAGACCTCTGGAATACATCTGAGCAGGTGGACCCAACCTCCGCCGAGCTCCTGTGACTGGTCTATTGATCCAGTTTACACTATTGTCAAAAAAGATATGGATCTGGAGATATTTTATTGGAATATTGGGGTTTAATTGAACCTTACGTAAGTATCACATAAAATAAAATCTTAAATGGAAAAGTAGAATCTTTAGTTTTTTTTCTTTGCATCAGCCAATCTTTTTTGCATCAGGAAATCCTCAAAAATTAAAGGTACATTGGTGCTACTTAAATCAGCTTTAAAAAAAATCTGTATATAAAAAAAATGACGCTGGTGATTTAGTATTGTCAAATCATGATCCAACCTACATCTTACCCTTGAATTAAGCCCAAAGCTTCAGTGATAAAAGCATCTGAAAGCTGGATAAATGGGGAGAGTCAAGCATGCACTGAGAAGGAACAGAAAGAAAAATGTTGTATTGGATAAACACACATATTTTCTGAAATCAGATCAGGATTACAACCCAATTAGGGATTGCAGAGTGAAACACAATCGAGTTGGAGAAAACCTTCCTGTCCAGTCCTGCCGTGGTCCTATTCAATGCATTAAGATCATCCTGTTATTCAAGTGATTAGGACTACAACAACAACAACAACAAGATTCCATTTATAAAGCGCCTTTCACGTCAGGAGGACGTCCCAAGGCGCTGCACAGTTGGGTCATGACCCGAGCAGGGGGGAAATGGTCAGGGGGAGGGAAGGGAGGGAGCGAGGAGGGGGGAAATGGTCAGGGTGAGGGGAGGGGAGGGAGGGAGCGAGGAGGGGGAAGAGAGTCGAGAGGGGAGCTGAAGGCTCGGTCAAAGAGAAAGGTTTTGAGACCGGCTTTGAAGGAGGAAAGGGAGGAAGCGGCGAAGGCACTGGGGGATAGAGTTCCAGAGCCTCGGGGCTGAGAGGCTGAAGGCCCGACCACCGATGGTGGGGCGATTGGGGCGGGGGACGTGGAGTAGACCGGAGCCAGAGGAACGGAGGGTACGGGCAGGTAGGTAGGGGGATAGTAGGTTGGAGAGGTAGGAGGGAGCAAGGCCGTGAATGGCCTTGTAGGTGAGGATGAGGATCTTGAATTCGATCCTCTGGGGGATGGGGAGCCAGTGGAGGCGAGCGAGGGTGGGAATGATGTGGTCCCGAAGCCTGGTGCGGGACAGTACACGAGCTGCAGAGTTCTGAATGACCTGCAGCTTGTGGAGGGAGGTGCCGGGAAGGCCGGCGAGGAGAGAGTTCCCATAGTCCAGCCTTGAGGTGACAAAGGCGTGGACCAGGGTTTCAGCCGCGTGAGGGGTGAGGTAATGCCGTAGTCTGGCGATGTTCCGGAGGTGATGGAAGGCGGTGCCAGTTGTGGTGCGGATGTGAGGGAGAAAGGACAGCTCAGGAGTGCAGCCTTGGATGCTGATGGTGTCGGCGCCTGAGGTGCGGAGGCGCTGACGTGAGCCAATCAGGAGGGCCTCGGTTTTTCACACGTTGAGCTGAAGAAAGTTGTCTCTCGTCCAGGACTCGATGTCAGACAGGCAGGCTGTCAGGACATCGGTGGTCGTGGAGTTGAGAGTAGAGGAGGAAAGGTAGAGTTGGGTGTCATCCGCATACATGTGGAAGTTAACTCCATGTCTGCGGATGATATCACCAAGGGGGAGCATGTAGAGGGTGAAGAGGAGGGGACCGAGGACAGAGCCCTGAGGGACTCCACATGAGACAGTACGGGGGGTGGAGAAGAAGCCATTCGTCGAGAAAAAGTGAAGACGGTGAGAAAGGTACGACTAGTTCCAATCATTCATTTTATCTTCACAGAAAGGGAGCACCACCCAGTGGTCACTCAGGGTGGACATCATTACAATGCCATTGCAAACTCATTTTATTCATAATGAGCAGCGATGGGAGTCGGACCATAATGAAGATGTGCAAGATTACTTTTCTCCTCATCAATTATCCTCATATACTTGAAACAGCAAAATAAATATTGTGAAGACTATCTCTTACTGTGAAGTACTTTGAGACGTCTCGAAGACATGATAAAGCGCTATATCAAATGCAAGGATTAATATTATTATTATTTCTCAAATGAAGCCACCACCTGGTCCCTTGACCCTATCCCTACCCATGTCCTTGCCCCCCTACTAACAGATACCATCAACCTCTGTCCACTGGCATAGTTCCCACTTATATCTTGGGCCGCCGAGACCCTTAACCATGCTTTCATCATGCCCAGGCTTGACTAAACCAACTCTCTTCTGGGTGGACTTCCCAACTCTTCCTTCCACAACCTGCAGACTGTTCGGAACTCTGCAGGCAGTGTCCTCTCCTGCACCAAGCTCCGTGAGTCTATCGCTTGTCATCTTCACTCGGCTCTACGAGCTCCCCATCACCAAAGGATCAAGTTCAGCATCCCTGTCCTTACTTTTAAAGCCTCCCACGGTCATGCCCCATTCTATCTTTGCGACCTGCTAAAACCTTTCCAATCTGTCTGCTCCCTCTGCTCAACAGGGATTGGCCCACTTCACATCTCCCACCCTGCCTGTCCCACCATCAGCGAGCTGGCCTTCAGCCTTTCTGCCCCCATCTTCTGGAACTCCATCCCAGAGTCCCTTCTCACCTCTTCCCTTCCCTTCTTCAAGGTCAGTCTCATGACCTTACCCTTTGACCATGGCTTCAGGTATCTTGACACCCTCTTGTCCCCCGCCCCCTCTTGCATCCAACCCCCAGTTTGGCTGCAAAGCATCATCTGTCCAGTGCCTTGGGATGTCTTCCTCACATGAAAGGTGTTATATAACTGAAATTTGTTTGTTCTGCCCCCACACAGTGGCAGTCATTAAAGGCTAATGCTAAACCTTCTCATTTGGCCAAGTAAACTTTGATTCAAAACACCATGCATGTGTAAACGGGTAGCAGATTGTGGGAAAAAAAACAACAGGCATTTTTTGTTTTGTTTTAATTGAATGATGAAAAAATACAATATTAATCTGCCATGAATTAAAAGTGGTCTTTGGATAAAAACAGACTCTTCAGAAATCTCAATTGTCTTTTCAGTTACATTCATCTTAAACAAGGGCTTGAAATAAACCCACCAGCAATAAAATACATCCAGTGTGGAAGGCAATCACAGTTAAATAGCTCCAAACAAAGCCAACACAGATTTTGAAAATGAAAGTTCCTTGGAAAATAAAATGGAGAATATCCTTTAGTGGTAATGCACCACATTATTATCCCCACCAAAAAAGTTGCTTTTATAACTTGTATCCAAAGTTTTTAGGTTTTCTTTTTTGCTGCAGTGTTTGCCTGACCTGTGAGATAGGCTTCATAGATGATATTCAAAAAGTTAGGGTCATTCTGAAATATGAACAAATTGTAATGATTAGAGAATATCCCAAATTTAGTTTGTAGAACAAGGGAGTAAATTCAATTAAAGTTTAAATCTTTTAATAGAAATGCTAATGGAACAAAAAGGAAAAATACTTTACCCATTATGTGTAACAAGCACAACTAAGCATAGATTTACAGAACTCAAATGCCATTATCCCATTTCTAATTTTTTTCCCTCATTTTGAACAGATTTCATTTAGATAAGAAAAGTATGTAAAAAACCTCTAAATAGTTTGTTAGGAAGTACAGTAACTCCACTCATTCATGCCAACAGGCTTAAATAGTGGCACTTTCGTCAGAGTCAGAAGGTTGCAGAAGTATCCTCACGTAAAACACCCAAGTGCGAAGAGGTCCTTTGCCTCAGAGATTGAAAATATTCGCATGGCTGCATGGTCTTCCCACCCATGTCCCCTTCTAACCCACCCAGACCATCCACACCGCCTTCTCCCTCTGCCATGGCTCCTGTCATTCCCCACTCCTCACACTCCTTTGACCCCATATGTCCATCCTCCCTCTCAACGGCAATCACCCACATGAAGTTCATCACCTGCTGCCTCAAAACCCTCCCCACCCAACTGCTGGTCACTCAACTCCCCCTCCTCTCCCCCCTGCTGGCCGACATGGTCAACCAGTCTCTCTCCTTAGGCTCTGTTCCACTCCCTCTGAAAACCGCTGTTATGACTCCCATCCTCGATCCCTATAACCTCTACACTACCATCCCATTTCCAACCTGCCCTTCCTTGCCAAAGTCCTTCGGTCACAGCTCTCCCTCCACTGCCTTCTGGAGCTCCTGCAGCCTGGTTTTCACCCTGCCCTCAGCACAGAGACAGAGCTTGTCAAAGTCACAAACAACATTCTCTCTATCTGTGACCAGGGCTCCCTCTGCCTCCTTGTCCTCCTGGATCTCTCTGCCATGTTTGACACAGTCGACCACACCATCCTCCTCCACCGCCTCGCCTACCTCATCCACTTTAGTGGAACCGCACTCGCATGGTTCAAGTCCTACTTAACCAACCGCCCCCCCCTTCATCTCGGTAAATGGTTTCTCCTCTCGTCCCCGTCCGGTCACCTGCGGGGTACCCCAGGGCTCCATCCTTGGCCCTCTTCTTTTCCCCATCTATATGCTCCCTCTGGGTGATGTCATCCGCAGATACGGGGTAAACTTCCACACGTATGTGGATGACACACAAATCTACTTTGCTTCCTCCAGTACCAATTCCAGGTCCCTCAATGTTCTATCAGCTTGTCTGGCAGCATCAGGGCCTGGATGAGTGCAAACCTCCTGCAGCTGAATGTAGACAAGACGGAAGCCATACTCCTTGGCTCCCATCAACGTCTTCACTCCTGTGGATCTGAATTCCTCAACCTCCCTGGGCTCTCCCTCACACTTACCGAACGAACCAGTGTGCAACCTAGACATTCGGTTTGACCTCCAGCTGTCCTTGCTCCCCCACATCTGGTCCCTAACCAGGACTGCCTTCCTCCACATCGCTCGCCTCCGACCGTACTTTACCCCAAATGCAGCTGAAACCCTCGTGCATGCGTTTGTCACCTCACGCCTGGATTACTCAAACGCACTCCTCGCCCGTGTCCCCAGCTCCACTATTCAAAAGATCCAGCTTGTTTGGAACTCTGCTGCCCGTATACGTACCCAGACCTAACTCCATACCCCCCCACACAAGTTCTGGCCAGGCTCCACTGATTCCCCATCACCAAATGGATCAGCTTCAAGATCCTCCTACTCGTGTTCAAATCTATTCTCCCTGGCACCTCCGATCTCCTCACTCCCCAATCCACCACCCGGCGCCTCCACTCAACTGGCACCGGCCTCCTGCTTGTCCCTCGCACCCTTTGCTCCACCATTGGAGGTCGCGCTTTCGGCCACCTTGCCCAAAACTCTGGAACACACTCCCTCAATCCCTCCGCCTTGCCCCCCCTCTCCCCTTTTTCAAGTCCCACCTGAAAGCCTTCCTTTTTCGACCGTGCTTATGGTCACCTCCCCACCCACACCCCGGCTCGGAATCAGGCTCCGCCACTGTTAAGCAAGCATGCTGAGACGCTACCCTGCGTGGAGGGCGCTATATAAGCGCAAGTTGTTGTTGTTGCTGCAAGGGTTATTATTAGCCAGAATCAACAACAAATTTGTATAGCACCTTTCACATCGGGAGATTTATCTGACAAAAGAACAATGCACCGCCTTTTACACACAGTCACAGATTGTTTTTATTAACAAGTTTCATAATAGTGTGAGCAATTTTTAAAAAATGATTAGCTAGGTATGGATAAAATCCAAATGGCAACAGAAGACTAGCTTTTGAAGGTAGAAAATTGTTTGAAATATCAGCCACGAAGCTTGCCGCAAAGGTCTAAACTAAAGGTCTAAAGGATCTGAAAATTCATGCTCACCTTCAAAAGGTACAAAAGGGTTTCTTGTAGCTGGACCTTGGTAAGTACATTTGATGTATGACTAGTTAGTTCTGCCATCTGTGCAGGTTGATGCAGACGACTCTCTAGCAGGCTCTTTGGAGCTTGAGTGGTGTCCAACTGTGCAAATGGTAGAGGACCTGCTTCTAGGGTCTTGGACTTTCCCATTACAGACTTGGAGAACACCATGGGAGACAGAAGAGATGATGCCACTGTAGCTGGAATGCGTTGTGGGGATATGACCTATTTAAGAAACAAACTATAAGCTAAAAACTATACCAACATGAGACAACAGTAAATAAAGCCCCTGGCACTTGCTTCACAAGTTTGTGATTGACCTAACATTTGTAAATTTCTAGTGTCATTCTACAGTATCACTCCAATTTATTTATCTTGTGCTTGTTTAAAGTTTCCGTTATTTCTGCTCCTATCTTGTATGTACTTAATTTTCACTCTTCCCATTCAGGCCCCACTCCTGCGATGTTTCTATTATAGTCAGAAATAATTAGGCTGCTTACATATAGCTTTGCATTTGCTATAAGCACACCACTGGGAAGAGGAGGAAATTCCAGTGGATGGAGTAATATACAATCCAGAAACCTTTACCCATATAAACCAACAGCTGGCAAACAAATTCTAGTTAGTGAATCCACTGAAGTGACTTCCCTGAGGCTCCCCAACTTCAACATTGCAATCATTCTAAATTCTGATGCATTGCTTCACCTTCGGAATATGCAAACACAAGTCAATATTCAGTTGAGTATTTTTAAATATATATTTCTAAGTGAAAAAATCAAAGATGAAAAATTATGAAACATGAACCCACTTTTTTTCAATCCATAGTATTAAACTCACAAGTTCAGCAAATGTGAACAGCTACATATTAGGTTTTTACCAAAAATATAAGGAAGATAACTTATTAAAACTGTTAAAATGCATAACAGTTGCTTTAGGAACTCAAAGGGCTGATTTCGAAAGATATAATAAAAGATGTAATTTTCTGACTGGAAATATTCAGCTATCCACATCTGGACATAATTATAACATTTTAATAATACAACAACAAAGACAATTAACTAAATACTTTATTTTTAAAAAATCAAATTAAAACTGATGTAGTACCACTGCAAATAAAAAATACTTATAAATAAAAAATGTTAATAGTGATAGTTTTAAGATTAGGTTAAAAAAAACTATTTTCAACTATTTTATGTTGAGGTTTGGATAATTTAAGGTATTGCTTAATTTTTTTATTGTTATTATTTTTTTTGAAGGGTTTACTACCTTCAGAAAAACGATCCGTCAATTGACTAACAACTGGGTTCCTACTTACTGCTAGGTGAACAGAGGTGTGTGGAGTAAGGAAACTTGCCATTTTTTGCCATGCTCGTGAATCAAACCCAGGTCCTCTCCCTTGCGAGATGAGTGCTCTAACCATTAAACTACAGAACTCTACAATTGTATTGAGGTCATTACAATTACTAATTACAATTCATTTATTTAGTCAGAATGCGCTAGATTACTAGATTTCAGGGTGCCAACAGGGACTCTCATTAGTTTGCTTCTAATGATATATGGTGCTGCGCATGGATTGTCAAATGACATTCAGACGTTGCCAGATTTACTTTTTGATGCTTATCATCTGGTTCATAGCTGAGTGATTGAAAGTTTTCTCTGTAACCAGTTACAATCAATAATTGTAATGACCTCAATGCAATCCTTAAAAATGTTCACTATGATCTCAATGTGTTATCTAGAACTGATGCTTCTGATAAGTTTCTTACCTGGAAAAATGGGTTCCGTTTTTCTGAGCAGGCAGTTTTCTCTGTCCAGGATTCCAATGGTTTGATTGAGGAATTGGTCTGACTGACAACTGAAGGCTGAGCTGAAAACTTAGCTGCCATAGTCATTTTGTTCCCAGCCTGAAGCTGCTGTTCCTGTTGAACTATTTGGAGCTTCTGAAGTAATTCATGTGGAGATATAATACCAGAGACCTGTGCTGGGCTACTGCAGGTGTTTGAGGCCACAGTCATCTTGGCCTGGTCTACAGATTGAATATTGTGTAGATTAGGTTGAAACTGTAGGCTGGAGCTAAGATAGGTGGGATGGGTCTGAGGAAAAGACTGTATCTGAGAATCCTTCTGAGACCTACTTAAGAGAAGTTCTGACTGTATCACAGAAGGGCCTGGGGTAAGAAGTGGTGCCTGTGTACATTGTAGCTTCTGAAGCAATTTGTGTGTATTGTTAGGAAAGAAAGAACTGGATTCATTCAAAGGATTTTGTGTAGATACATTGCCTACAGAGGGTTGTACTTGGTATAGTCCTGTCAAAGAGTCTTCCATAGGTTGATCAATTTGATTTTCACACAGGCAATTTTCTGGTAACTCAGACACTGGCTGAAGATCAGTTCCACGGCCCATTAGTTTCTGAATAGCAGGACAAAGCTGTCTTTCTTCAAGTTGGGAAGTCTCCTGCTTTGGCAATCTGCTGGGCTCATCATAGGACAAAGAACGTACCACACCTGGTCGACTACAAACTTTGTTCTTTGGTTCCTGTGCTGGGACATTAGTCGAAATTGGTTTCACTTGTGTACCAAACAAGGCTGCCAATGTCAAGTGCTTTGTTCCTAATTCTGTACTCTAAAAAACAAGAGAAACAAATTTGCTTTGTAACTATAATAATAATTATCCTCTCATTCGATATAGCGCCTTATCACATTGTCGAGACACTCAAAGTGCTTCACAGGATATACTGTAAAGTGGATTAACAATTTTTGGTGGGAAAAACGCGGCAGCCAGTCTTTGCACAGCGATGTCCCACAAACAGCCATGGAGTGAATGACCAATTTTATTTGGGGGATCTATTGGCCAGAACATAGCCGAATTGTGCCATGAACAGGCATCTGAACAGGCAGACGGGACCCTGGTTTAACGACTCATCCGAAAGATGGTACCTCCGACAATGCAACACCTCCCCAGCACCGCATCAACTTAAGACTATGCAATTCCAAGTCCCAACACAGGGCTTAAACCCACAACCTTCTGAGGAAGAGGGGAGATGGTTACCACTGGGCCAGGCTGACACACAAGTGTATTAAAAGTGCAACGTTGAAATTCATAAAAAAATTAATATAAAGCAACTAAAACTGGATTGTTACTGTAACTAAATAATTAGAACTTAACATAATTGAAATTTTGATTTATGTGATGTGCATATACACAGGTTAAGACGATTATAATCAAGCTGCCAAGATTTTGTTCAAATTCTGAAAATAAATAAATATTCCAACAAACACCATAATGATTTCATTTATAATTTAAAAACTGGTGCAAATTTGTTCTGCAAACTACGGGGTATCCTGCAAAATAAAAAAGCCAGTTAAATTGTCACTCAATACCAATCTGATTATTTATTTTGTGCCTTAAACCGTATACCTTATCTGATCGCTGTGCCTCTTGATAATGGGCATCTGTCCCAAGCTCAGTTGGTTTAATTGGGATTGGTTTGATCAGGACTGAGCTGTTATGAATCAGACTGGAGCTAGTTATCTGCTTTGGTTCTGAGGAATGTTTGACCTGAAACAAAAGTGAAATATATTTAATATAATTTCATATTCATATCATATTTAAATTATATACATTAGTCCCAGTTTTAAAACTAAATTAATCAAAATAAATGAGTATGAATTATTCAACTGAAGTGCTATATTAGGCAATTGGAAAGCACAGATTCTCTTCTAAATGTTTTCACAAAGTAAACTCCTATCTGAGCTATTTGTGGCGTTGTTAACTGGAGGCTAAATACAACAAGCTGGCTAAACCCAGATTGTTCATCCATGGTGCCTAGAAGGTAAATGAATGATGTTTTAAGCAAAGGATGCGGAGGGGCAATTCCATTAACACTTTGGTAACTCATGTGCCATCACATTGGATGTCTCAGACTCTTAAGTATTAGAAATCATTAATTTCTAAACAAGTTACTTATTTTGCGTCTTCCTCTAAAGCAATGCTCTAGTTTCTTCTCAAATTGCTCTTTCGATGCAATAGTTGATGATACATCCTTAGACTATTTTCTAATTAAATGATATACTGAAATATCCCAATTAAGACAATATTTTATTTTGAGATGTTAATCTACTTGGAAAATCTATGAACTACTATAATATTTACATACTTTATTTTCTAGTATTTAATGAGCCAAAAATAAATGAGTCCATTGAGATGAGTCCAGTACATTAAAAGTCAGGTATGGTTACCTATTGTTGAGTTTCAACAGAGCCAACACACCCCTTCCACTTGTAAACAGAGAACACGAACGAAAATCAAGTCAACCATCATCTTTTACGTAAATAAATGTTTAATATTTGTCAATTTTAAATAAGTCATGTTCTGTCCAGTTATTGCAATACTATGGTAGTGGCTTTTCTTTGGATTCAAACCATTAATTGAAAAATATTTCTAGCAAAGAGAAACACATAGAATAATCAGTACACTAAATAAGAAGTTTGAAATTAAATAATTGGCAAAAAAAATTATAAAACTTTTTTTAATCAACAAGACAGCACTTCTTGTACAAAAGTATAATAACTGCTTGGTTTGGCATTTAAAAATAATAATAATCCCTGCATTTGATATATTGCCTTCTCACATTGTTGTGATGCCCCAAAGCGCTTCAAAGAATATATTGTAAAGTGTATTTACCAATATATTGACTGTGTATTTTGTGAGTGAAGCGCGACCACCAAATGTGCACAGCAGTCACCCACAAACAGACGTGGATTGAAGGATTATTACCCCAGAAAAGCGGTCTGTCAAGCGATTAACAACCGGGTTCCTACTTACTGCTAGGTAAACAGAAGCATATTTTTGCCCTGCTCGGGAATTGATCCCGGGTAATAGATGTTCAGTACTCCAATCATCCATGTACAATTTCATGGTAATGTTAAGAAGGCAAAAACAAAATTCTACCATTCAGCGAGACCAAGGTAACTCCTCTTTCTGATCTCAAACTCTTGATATTACTCTGTCTTACTGATCAGTGCTCAACATTTAATTCAAACTTGGCATGAAAAAGATTTTGCTGGCGTGTCACTGAAAAGCTATGGGATCTCCTGTTACAATTACCCAGGCATTTAGATAGTTACACGTACCTTGTTATATTCATGTTCAGCTTTAGATAGCATTTGTAAGATATCTACAGCTTTGCTCTCACCATAGTGTGGTGATCCACCACCCTGCTGAGCTTTCCATTGCTCCAAGTGAGTTAAACTGAGTTAAAATAGAGTTAGATAAGTTTACAGTGTAAAAAAAATGCAATAAAATTTATATTTATACAGTGCTTCACTATGCTGGCTGGGCACTTGATTAGGTGGTGGGGGGCTTAAGGTGACTGAAAGCACAATCAAATAGACAATGTTTATTTTCACAAATTAGCACAGAGATTTTCTTTCATAAATAATCTGATGCTTTATTATGTGACGATGATCATAAAAATCATGCAGACGAAACGACCAGCACACAACTCTCAATGCTCAGATATTATTCAGCTGCCACTTGCAGAAATCCTGAGATGCCAATTCAAATTCATATTTTTGAGACTAAACATTCCCTACATACCTTTTTAAAACCTCTCCCTACCCAAACACATCATTCCTCCCATTTTAAATGGGAAGATAACCAGTTCTCCAGTCATCTGCCACTTTAAAATGGCCTTTGAAGTGTTGGAATTTCCTTCTCTCCTTGAGGGGAAGTGACTTGTCTCCAGAAAGTCGTTGGGGAGATCAGAAACTCACAATGGCAAATTGCAGGGATGAGAAGAATGAGTAGTAATAATAATAATCCTTGCATTTGATATAGCGCTTTTCATGTCTTCTAGATGTCTCAAAGTGCTTCACAGAATATACTGTTAAGTGAATTGACTGTATTGGTGGGTGAAACGTGGCAGCCAATTGCGCACAGGTGCGTACCACAAACAGACATGGATTGAAGTGACCAATATATTATTAGGTTTTTTTCTTGACGGATTATTATCAGACGTGTGGAGTAAGGAAACTTGTCCAAGGTTTCGCCCTCTGCCTGGAATTGAACTCAGGTCTCTCACTTGCAAAGCGAGTGCTCTAACCACTGAGCTACAGGACTGGGAGATGATCGAACAATAAACAACTATTTACTTACTTTTTCATAAGCTCTGCAATCCTCTGACATTCTGCCTTATCATAGAACCAGATCCCATAGATAGACACTGGAAATTGAAAATAAATAGAATGCTTTGAACAATATACAAGTTCGAGCTTACTTTTTCCACACTTCTCTTTTCACTTGTTACGATTAAATTGTACACTGAAAAGGCTGAAAGCCATAAGGGTACTGTAAAGCAATACATTTGTACATAGCACTCAATAAAATAGTTTTACACCATATCAAGAAAGCAAAGATTCTAAAGTTTTTTTTGGAATACATTCATTACCATAAAACAACTATCAAAATGCAGCTTAACTTCAAGTACTGTCTTATACAAGCTCCTTAGGGGTATGGCAAGAACAATATTACCTAGCTCAATAACTAAGATTTATAAATTATATTATTATTATTTGATACAGTTGCAAATATGGACTCAAAATCAATCATTAGCTGACAGAAGTCACTGAGGTGCAGTAATAAACACAATCAACATTAACACTGTACATAACTTAGTAGGTATAACACACAGAAATTTGCTACAGCTATTTGCTGCACGAGAGTGTATCCTGCTGTTTTACTCTCACCGGTCTGTTACTAAATGTGTTCAACTGAGATTAGTACACCAGTGTTGATTTCAAGCATCAGAATGCTTTCAGGCATCACAATATGTAGTAGGAATAAAACATAGTCTTTGCTATTCCTCTCGTCTAAGTACAGTATTTAAATCTGACAAGCAGAGGATACATTCAAAAGATAAAGTGGTTTCTCCCAGTCTAAATAAATTGGTCATTCACTTCATGTTCAGAAAAGTTTTGTGCCAAATTGCTGCTGTGTTTGTGTACAATTACACAGTTGCTGCACTTGACAGCAATTACCTGTGAAGCGCTTGGAGACATTTTGAAATTATAGGCAATATATTAAATGTCGTTTAATAGCTTTGAGACAACTTGATGTCATTGGCTATATATTATACTAGCTGTAGACATTGCAGCTTTGCTTGCAACCAAAGGATCCAATATGGAATACAGATTGACACACAAGACAGACAACTCATCTTTATCTATACTCTGTGGGAGAACTCCTTTTGGGAGAACTCTGCATTTTTGAAATGTAATTTTGTTGTTGTTGACACGGCTTAGCTTCATTTGCATTCTTTATTGTGTTCCCGCCGCTTGGCTTCGTGCGTGCTCTGTGACACAGGATGCCACAGCGTCACAGTCAATCGGCGCAGCCTTCAGGTGTAACTGCAGTATGTGCGTACATACGTAGGTGCTCTGTGACGCCCGATGCCACAGCACCACTTTGACTCGGCGGCTGCCTGGTGTAACTATGGTGAAAAACGCAAAACTGAAAATAACTCATGAACGATAGGAGATACCCAAAAATATGCCCATGTCACTCCCAGTACAAGACCTCTCCGGTGAGATATAAATCATGTCTCTACGTCAATCGGTTATTGAGATCCTTCTTGAAGCGCAGACATACATTGTCGTTTTATTAGTATATAAGATTTAGTTTAATAGCTTGCTAAAAGAACAAATATCTAAACGACTCTAGGAACTGCTTACACTTACTTCAATGGCAACCTAAAAATACAATCAAAACATCTTTCTATGGCTTTAGAAGACAGCTTTATAGAGGATCCAGTATATTTTTCCTATTGCAATTTAATTGCTCTTCCTCTCTCCCTCCTGCACTAATTGGATTGGAAATGTAGAGAATTCTTCAACCATTCATCACAAGATTGTAACATGAATTGTTGGAAAATGTTATAATCTTAGTTGGCTTGCAATTCAGACATTGCAGAAGCTTTTATCTTCTTTCCTCTCAATGAGATGAAGGCTCCATATCAAAATGTCAATGGTGATGCAAAAGAGCAGGCCACAACGTAATTCTCTGGAGTGGTGAATGACAGCCCTTACAGCCACCAAACTCACTCATCTCTGGGGAACCTATCAGGAGAGCAATTAATGGGAATGCTTACCCACAGCACGTTCCTTGTTAGGCTGAAGAGCAGTATTTCTGAGTAAAGAATGTATGAACAGAACCAAACCACAGACACCCGTTTAACACACAACTGAATTATATATTTTTAAATAAGAATATAACTAATATCTTGGAAAATAAAATGTTTCAAAGAGCTCTTCAACAAGGAATGCCTGTCCAACTGTCCAACCAGCCACCACAAATAATGGATTCCAAGTACAAAGGTGTAACAGTAAAGGAAATTCAGTTGAACTGTTTCTATGTGTGTCCTGGAGGTAAGATGTTGTTCCATTGTGCAGTTTCTTGAATGAATTAGATCAGCAATCCAGTGTACTTGCATGTTAGAATTTTTAAAGTAATAATAAATAAACAGAAAAGAAGTTTAAATTGACCTGTCAAAATGTTAAACCATAAAAAATATTTGTTGTTCTACGATTTCATCCAAGATCAAATTTCTAAATCTAAGCTTTTAAAATATCCGAGCATTGGTATTTCCTACTCTTTTTCCTGTAAATCATACTACACATTTTTCATAAAAAATAAAATTCAGACATTAAAAAATGTTTGAAATATTTTTTGAACAGGAAATTAGCAAGTTTCATTTTCATTGCAGTTAAGAGATAAAAGTTTTTTCAAATAGGAAGCTCATTACTTTAAATGGATTTACATCCAAATAAGAGTGATTTAATATAGCTAGACGTGCTCTACTGTATATAAACAGTTTTAAAAAGAGAAACCTCACATGGGACGCAAAGATTGTGATGTAAACAATGCAACATTAATCTCACATTGCATCATAGCAAAAAAGAGGTTCAACATTTTGTTAAAGGAAAGTTTCCAAAACCTCAACTTTTTTTAATTTGACATTTGAAAGCAAATGCTGAAAAATAAATTCCCATTGTGGTTCCTATTTTAAATGTACATTGATAACTGAATTGAATTTAGCATATGTAGCCTATTGCAGAAAAACAGCTGAAGTTCAATTTTAGAACAGTGTAATGTGCTACATACAGTGAATGATCTTAAGTTGTGTAGACTTCTGTTTAATATAGTCTTGTCAGATACAGTTAAAACTATAGTGAGCTGATAGGAATTGTAAATGGCTCCCATTTAGACAAATGAAACCTTAATTTGGAATATTCCTATCTGTTTCCCATATAAAAATATATGCTGGCTTTCACAACATAGTTGTTCCGCATACCTTCTCTTTCTTGGATCTGGGCAACTACAATAAAGATAGAAGGGATATGCAAATTCAGTCAGTGATTATTTAATGGCCAGCAGCCCGGAGCATTCCACAACACATGGAGGGAAAATAACAGGCAAACATATTTAAAATTTTAAAAAAGATTAACTGGATCAGAATATACAATTTTCTGATGTATTCTTTACTCTCACTCCTGACACTAAATTGCTACTTCTACCTCTGAAGTGTATACTGTTGTTTCATTTCTATTATCGATTCAAGCTAATGGGATGAGAGTTTTCCATCTCTAACTTTCAAGCAGTCTCAATCAGTTCTTAATTATACAATAACTGAATGATAAACCGTCAATCTCGATGTTTGGACAATTGAAAACACTGATAAGAATAAGGCTTTTAGGAAATTTGTTTTAGGGACATAATGAGGCCAGAGTGGAAGGAACTTTACTCCACTAACAGAACTATACCAGACTCTGTTTTGTGTTATGCAAACATTGTACATGAAGAGCAAAGATTGATCAATATGTTGATTAACTTTACACTGATGATCCACTAACTGTTATTGACTAACATATTGAAGTCTACTATAAGTAATGCATTAGTGCTGACAAGAACCTATGACTGACATGCAATTTGTTTGACTAGAACATAGCTAGTTACATTCTCCTTATAAGTTTACTAAAGTTGTTCTCAGGTTAATATAAGACTTTCAATTCCCATGGGGGCAGGCGGGGGTAGAGAAGTTGATTGTGAGGCCAGGCCTTGAAGAGAGAGAGAAAAAAACAGAAATGGGGGCAATGCACACAAAATGTTTAAAAAACGTTAGTCACAGATTAAGAGCTTGAAGTCCCAAAGTGGGTTTTCTATGTGTATTCTCTTTATGGTACCTTCCTCAAATCTATTTGCAGAATAAAAATGCTAGAGAGAGTTCAACTTCAAAGTACAATTGATAAAGGTTCTCTAAATAGGAGTCTGACGATGTACTGGTGTAGCTATTTCCCTTTTGTCTCTTCAGTACAGCAGAGCTGATATTAAGTGGCAAAACATAGATTTAAGAACAAAACATACATAAGAAGTAAATCGGTATATTTTGCTTTTCTTTAAAATTTCATCTAAAAAATTCATGAACAGCAACATTTAAATGCACTGTTTCCTGTTGCAGCTGCAGTACTAAAGAACGATAGGCTGCCAACGTAATTACATTTGCTCTGACTTATTGCAAGGATCTGAAAAAATGCAGTGCCCTAAAAGCTAGTTCAAGCCTCTGAATACAACCTATTTATTGGTTGGTAAAATGAGACATTTTGTATTGAAAAAAAGTCTATTAAATGTTGCTAGGGTGGTTAAACATCACAAAGATGTCAAGAAAAAACATGTTTTCCCTTTGAAGTTTGGAGCACAGTTCTAACTTTGCTATTAAAATTAAAGTAAAGATAAAATTGCAAAGCACTTTCAAATCCAGTGTTGTAAATCCTGCATTAAGTTGTGCAAAGCCAATTACCATCCATGTTCTTTTCCACATTGAGTTCTTTATCTTATCTTATGGTTTTTTAGAACACAGTGTTGGCAGGACACTTTCAGTAGTCAGGTTACAGACTGATCTATATGCATCCTTGCACAGCCAAAGCTTCCTTTGACTATAAAAGGTGAGGAGACAGCAAACACGTAGCTAGTGGAGCCACATATCTAATGTAATTCTTAACTGCTTTCCTTAACCTATTTATAATCTCTGAAAAAGAACAAGCCTTCAGAAAACTCAAGTGTGCCTCCACAAATCAGTTTTTAATTGGTGTCTGCATTATGTGTCACTATCATGTCCCAAATGTACTTAGAAAAATACTATTTTACAAACTGACATTTTGCAGGAGCACTCTGTTAAATGCAGAGATAGAATTTTGAAAAGAAATGAAGAGGTTGTAGTGTATAAACAGTAAACTGAAACAAAAGGCAGTAAAAGGTTGGTATGGGGTTATACCAGTTCATTCTCCAATATTTGATCTTTGATTTTTTTCCTCCACCAATCACCCCTCTCGAGAGGGGTCAAACTTTAGATTTTCTTAAAATTAGAAACCAATGAGAAACTGGGGATCTTGCCACAGGAGTCGGAAAGAGAAACAAAAATGTTTATTCTTGATCAGTCCCTTGACTTGACTGACTTGACAGTATTCAAGCTTGACCACTCAGATATGGTCAAGGTGATTTGATGGAAGAAAATTAGGCAAACAAAGGTAAATGGCAGTTTATAAAGAGCAAAGCTAAAACAAAATCAAAGGTGGATGTGTTTCCAATAATGCTACAACAGACTATTGTCTAATTTGGTTAATATTTTCAGCTAATTTTTAAGCAAAAAAATATAAGCTATAAATATATATTAGTGAAGGTTCTACCATCCAGTGAGGAAGATAGTGTACAGTTTGCGTCATTCGCTTGTTTCTCAGAGTACAACTCAAGATTTGTTTTAAGGTAAAATTAAGGAATTGCAAAATTCATTAAAACAGTAAACTCCTGATAACTCGACCCTGCCTTAACTTGTCACTACCATTTAAGTCATCATGCTGTCAATATCCCAGCTGCGTTTATTTATGCCTAACTCGCTACTCTGTATAGATCGTCACTGGGCCCTTTTCCCTTGGAGTAACAAGCTATCAGCAGTTTACTGTATTTGCAAACAAAGGGGAATTTCTTTCACAGTGTGCAGAACGCCTAACTAGTTGGGAAATAAAAGCCTTTGTCAGTTACTGAAAAGACCTGTTCATTGCAGATTGGCTGAAAATATTTGAAGTACATTTCTCAACTGGTATGATCATTATATTACATTAGTTTTCCCAGTTGCAAATCATTTTTACTTTGCTCTTTTACATGCATCCACCATTGTAAAATATGTTTGAATAAATCCCTAATTAACCTGGCCTTTAATTTTCATTGCTTGTGGCACTCTGCAACTTTCCAACAAAGGTCCAAGCGAGATCAGGAAATCTCTGTGGCAAACTTGCAGATGCGTCTCCTGATCATGCCATTCTATGACAGATCATTAGTACGCTAATGTGCTACATGAGTGCGACCTTCAGCTCTTTTCTTAGCAAAGAAAATCAGCAAACGTAGCACTGTGAACTCTCTGTTTAAAATGGAACTGCAATTTTGAAAAACAATACATTTTGAGGGTTTAACGTAGAACTAATTAGCTATTTTGAAATTGATTCAAATGATCTTTCTTTTCGTGGTGTCTTGTAGCTCAGTGGTTAGAGCACTCGCCTTGCAAGCAAGAGACCTGGGTTCGATTCCCAGCAGTGCGAAATGTTGGGCAAGTTTCCTTACTCCACATGCCTCTGTTTACCTAGCAGTTAAGTATAAACCCGGTTGTTAATTGATTGGCGGATCGCTTTCCGGCGGTAATAATTCCTTAAAAAAAATTGGTCACTCATTCCATGACTGGGACGCTGATGCACGCAATTGGCTGCCGCCTTTCGCCTACAGAACGTATAGTCCATTCACTTTACTGTATATCCTGTGAAGCACTTTGAGACGTCTCGAAGATGTGATAAGGCGCTTTATCAAATGCAAGGACTATTATTATTTTCCGATCTTATAAATTTCTGATTTGCTTATAAACCTTCTATCCAGATTTTTTTTAAAAAACGTGGTATGGAGTGCAATCATACTTTGTAGTGATGAACAAAGTGTGAAAAGTATATTTTTGCATAAAGGGTGGTTAAGATGAGCCATGCATGTGCAAAATCTTTGAAAGTTTATTGTCAAAATAAAGGGAGGCTGGAAGATATACCCGATTGTCAGGCAACTTTGTTGTGACAATTTTCTGAATTTCACTACTGTTATTTTAGTAGGGGTGAATTGGATGATAAACTTCCAAATACGTTGTGTATCTGATAATAATCATGCTGCTGTAAACTAATTTTACATTGAATTCCCTTTACGATTATAATAATATTGTACTTATTTGGTATGCATCTTTTAACGTCAGGAGGGTAGTCCAAAGTGATCCACAGGATATACTGTAAGTACAGTCACTGTGTGTTTTATCATCAAATGAGGCAGTCAATTTGTATGCAGCACCAAGAAGTTGATTTCCTAGGTGCCTAAACATTTTTCTGCAGCAATAATATCTACCACAGTTATTCTAAATGATGCCAACCACTTTGTATAATTCTATTTTGATTAAAATTCGATTGCATCAGTAGTAATTAAATTGACTTAAGTACCAGTAGTATAAAATCACAATTGTAACACAAAGCTTATAGAAGTCTAAAATATAGAAATGGCCAAATTATGGAACATAATTTTTTAGCTTTGTGTAGCCACAATAAAAAAGGAGGTAGAAATCCCTCCAACTCTTACATCGTGCATTTCTGTAGAGTAGGAAAGGATCTTGCAACTGAAAGTCCAGATCCTTAGTGATTGGCTCAGTTCTATTTTCTACGCTCAGTCTGTTCATGATGGTAAACCCATGTCTCGGAGAAGCAGACCTGGAACAAAAAGTGGGGAATAGTAGATGAGAATAGCTGCGAAGGAAAGAAAACAAAAAATGCTAAGTATCTTGTACTGGAAAAACACATTCTGCAATAATTAAATAAAACAAGCATTTAACACCTTAAGAGTCAATACCCATACTTTCAATAAATACAGACACAGAAGTAACATGGTCTTCAGTTACTGGATATACATGCACCTTTGAATGGAATCAGTAACAAAAGCTATTATTAATGTATTGTTAATCCATAATGTTGTTGTTAATGTATTTCAAAAGACCAATAAGACCTGATAAATCTGAAGATAATATTCTTATACCTTTTACCACTGATACTAAAACAGTATACTGAAAGTCAAATTAAAATCAATACCCACACAAACTAGCATTGAATGTTTCATTCGCTTCAATCTTTAAGATTGTATTTCTATAAATGAAAGTGTTCATAAAGTATATTAAAATCTTATTTAAGCACAACCCCTCTATCAAGTACTATACTTCTGCAGATGAGCAAATAAATTGGCATCCTGAGACCTCAAAGCAAATTCATTTAAGATGTTTTCTTTAATATCCTTAGTCAGTCATGAGTGAAACAATACACCAATAGTAATAAGTTTATAATGGTTATTGAAGTTTACTTTTAATATGTGGCCAAACACCCATTCAAATACTAAAAATGCATAGTGTATTTTAAGCTATATCTATTTATATATTTGGGCAGTTTTATAGCTCGGCTTTTTAACATACTGTATATGTATTTCTCACCCTCTTAAAATCATGCATCAATCCTTGGTTAGGTGGGCACTTAAGCGTTTTTTTTCTGACCTTGGTCAATGCTATTTCAGAATTGATCATTATGAGGTACAAAAAAAATCCCTCATCTTTTTGCTATAATCACTTCTTGAATATATACAAATTTTTACATTGACACAAAATGAAAAATGACATCTAAAATGCAAACCATCAATTTATGATCTACTATCCATACCTTGTGTAAACAAATAGGGTGCCCTCGACATCGGTCTTCTCCTGTGATTAAAAAGGAAAATTCATATAGCCTTCAACATGAAACAAATATATCAATTGGCATTGTGTTGTACATGAAAGTCATAGAAATCCAGTACAAATTTACTATGTACTTGCAAATATCCCACAAGATAATGTCTTATACTTTTAAAAGAATTTGGGGTTAGTATACCAGTATGGTATGCTGTGCCAGAATGGTTAACCAGAATTCTCCCCACAGGCAAGAAATTGGTCTCTAGGGGACGGATTGAAATAAACTAAGCTAAATTGAATAAACCAAAGCTTTTCACATCTAGAAGATGTGAAAAGCGCTATACCAAATGCAAGGATTATTATTATAAATCAATGCCATACCCTTCACTGTTAAAATAATTTAAATGTTGGTAACTTAACAGAGGGGAAATGGAACAAAGCACTACCTAAAAACAGAGCCAAGACAGAAACAGTCTGTAGCATATGGAAGCAGAAGAAAAAAAAACTTTTTAAAAAAGTAAAAACCAGCTTAACCAATACCTATCTACTTGTAATATCTATTTAATATAAGAGCTCAGTTTAGTGTTTTGTCAGTGAGTTCACGTCAGGAGTGTCTATTAAAACACAAACCAATGGTATGTAAAGTGCAGGCATAAACTATAAAGTGAGCATTAGCAGGAAATGTTATTATGGGGAACATCACAATCAACACCTTGCATTCTGATCTCATCTACACACGTTCCAACATAAGCCACTGCACAGAGCCTACAAAATAATAATAATAATCCTTGCATTTGATATAGCACTTCTCATGTCTTCTAGACGTCTCAAAGCGCTTCACAGAATATGCTGTAAAGTGAATTGACCGTATATTTGTGGGCGAAACGCGGCAGTCAATTGCTATTCAAAATAGTCATTACACTACAGTAACATCCTGTGAAGCAGTATGAAACATCCTCCTGATGTGAAAAGCACCATATCAAATGTACACTTACTTTATATTATAAGGAGCACTCAATTTCTGAATTGATTTTTCACATTCCCTTGTCCAAGGATGGTGGGGCAACTTTAGTACCCAATGATTTCACCGGCTACATTTATTTTAACTCAGCACAGACCAGAGACCTTTCTGGACTAGTATATCATCAAGCAATGCATTTATATGGTATTTATTCATTAGCCCAGTGAGATGTCTAAAATCCCATTTTCTTTCCACTAAAATGACATAATTCATCAAGAAAGATTACTAAAAGCAAAAAATAGGAAAACTGAAAATGCACTGCATCACTGCTTTATTTGTCAAGGTTAAATCAATTTATTTAAGAATTGAAAGACATGTTTTAAAAAAAAGTAATTGTCATGAAAACTCTCCTCCATTCTGATGAATATCTTTGTCTACTAATTGTTCATCATATCATATATCATGAATTACTCACTGCAAAATCACTGCATTTTACAGCTGTGATGGGCTTTGGGATGTCCTTCTCGTGTGAAAGGCGCCAAACTAAATATAAGGATTTGCAAGGTTTACTACTATCATAATTAATGATATAGCATTGCATTCCTACTTCTCATATTTCAATACTTTGGGGGGCGCGGGGGCAGGGATTCTTCCCATTCAGCTTCTATTAACCTTGCAAGGTAAAGCCGTAATAGGTAGGGTGGTCCTAGCTAGATAAGCAGTGGCAAGCTATGTGGTTAAACTCCAGTAGTACTCCCAGCCTTGTTTTTTGCCAATCTATGGCTAACACTCTCCAAATTAGATAAGCAGGATGCATTCCATTCCAAACACAGGAATTTTCATGCATAAGTGTCATTCGTGGAACATGGAACTCAGTCTGGCTTTGATTATCTAATGTACGATGATGGGTTCAAGATTATCATAGATCTAATAATCTTGTGTGAAACTGAGATACTTTAAATTCTGGCATTTCCACCAAACGTTTTAGTTTTCAATAAGAAGCCTAAATCCATCTGACCTATATTCCTTCAATTAGTTGGATATGCAAATTAGGCCATTCATATTACAGTGCCTGCATGTTCACCATTTAAGATATTAGAATCTACAATGATTAAAAGATCAATGACACACAGTGTCTGGGTGTTTCCTCAAAGAGAGCAGGGAATTGAGAAGATCTCATGCACTTCCCAGCGCACTAGGAAAAAATCAGCAATAGCCAGCGCAGAAAATGGTGCAGTCAGAACCAAGCTACATTATGGGGCACCATACAGTTCGTTGGTTTTTTTTAGACCAATAGTCTTGATAATACATTTTGCTTGTAAGTGGTGTGTCTTGTCTTGCCATTGTACAATGGAAGGAACAAAACACATTAATGTGACAGCCAAATGCTGCATTAAAAACAATAATAATCCTTGCAGTTGATACAGAGCCTCATTGTGTTGTTAAATGTCTCAAAGCACTTCCCAGAATTTTGCTATGATGTCTTGTGACTCTGTATTCTTAGGGGAACATAGCTGGCAATTTGCACACAACAATGTTCCACAACAGCCATGAAATGAGTAGCCAAATTTACCTGGGGGATTATTAGCCAGGATGCCGGGAGAAACTCCCTTCTATTTTTGAATAGTGTCCTGACGTCTAAAACTTCCACCTGCCCCGGCACACAGTTTTATGTTTCCTCCAAAGCGCCCCACCTGCCCTGCACTGAAGTGTCAGCCTAGACTGAGAGCCCTTAAAAAACTCTCTCCTCCCCCCAAAATAGAATAATATTTTATAGTGTTATGGCTTCTTTCTATCACTGACACATACCATGTTAATACCTAAAAAGTGTCAGGGCTTCTACCACTTCAGGACGTTACAACATTCGTTTAAAACCACTGTAGTATGGAAGACACAAAAAGTCAGTGGACAACTAAGTTTGTAGCAAAAGCTTTTACATAGCCCTCATAAAACTTGGTCAGCCCACAACTTCTATATATACATGTGTGTTTTAGTTCTTCCCCCAAACCATTATCTAGAAATGGACAATGCAATTATTTATCTTTAAACAGATAAAATTATTTTCCTTATTACAGTCATTTGCCAGAATTTCAAATAAAGAACAATATTTGGTTGGTTTGTGTATCAAGTACAATACATTCAAAATTAAAATTTGATTGACTATTTTATGTTATGCACAAAAGAAGCCAACAAGAATACAAATACAAAGTTACACCTTTCACGTCAGGAGAATATCCCAAGGCACTGGACAGTCAGGATTTGGACTCGAGCAGGGGGGTAGGGATCATGGAGGGTGGCCAAAGGCACGGCCGAAGAGGAGGGTCTTGAGATGTGACTTGAAGGAGGTAAGGGAGGGAACTAGGCGAAGGGAATGTGGGATGGAGTTCTTGCCTTCGTCCCCCTTGCCCTCCTCCCCTTCTGACCCCAACTCCCAGCCTGGGTCCAAACCCCCTGATTGTCCAACGCCCTGTGATGTCTTTCCGATGTGAAGGGTGCTATACAAGTGTAATTTGTTGTTGGTGTTATTTCAGATAGGAGAAAACTGCGTAAACAGTTCATAAAATCCAGGTAGATATTAAAATATTTGCTTTGGCAACATAATAATATAATCTTCATCTGATTTACAGAAGTGTGTTTCTGAGCAGGTGACCAGTCTAAAGGTTAAGCAATGCTCCTGTTAAAAAATGTGCAAAGTACAATATGCATAGTTTATACCGTTTGTGGAAGCCATATATATGCAGCTACAGTGGAAGTAATGATAAACTTGCAAAATATATAAATTTTGTTTACAAGTCTTATAATTTGCCAGTTATGCTGAAATCCCAACATTGTTCTTGAACCAATAACCTTCCAATCCAGATGTAAGACATCGAGGCTGATCACATCTACAGATTTCTAGATTAACAAAATATTGAACAGTTCATGCACATTTGTGGGATACCAAATCTCTCTTTCTAAAACAGGTCCTTTTTATAATGCCTCATATTTTGTAATTTTTTAAATATACACTAAATAAATAAAGTACATTCTCAATGGAAAGAACTTGGGACATGGAATTTTGTTGCATAAATATCAGACAGAAACATTTATTTTAAGAATTTAAATAAACACGAGGGGTAAGAGGTGGATTTCATAACAAGCTGATTGAAAGGAAGTGAGTGCAGAAGAATTCATCTAGATTTTTAGAGGGCACTAACATGAACGAACAGATTGCACCACATTTCATGAAGCAACATTTGAGCAGGACTGAAGGAAGTGGGCGACTCTCATTCCAAATTACCATCCATGCTAAAGATTTACAAAACAGAAAACTGATGTAAGAAAATATGTCAAAATATCCATTCAATGCTTCCATAGTGATTTTTCTTCAAATCTTCCTAATAGTTTTTTTTGTAGCCATCAATATTTTAAACAAATGTCTAAAGTTTGTATTAAAAATAAAATGTTTACAATACATGAGTAAAACATAAACAAGGTACAGTTGCATGCATGTCAACTGTTAGGTTACATTAGACAGGAACATGCAAGTTCAGCTTTTTGAACCAAAAACAGGACTAGATATGTTCCAGATGCAACACTACCACTATTATTAACAATTTACCATTAGTTAATCCTAGTTGTTATAAATACAATTCTAAACCTAGCAATGCATGACTGTTTCGCAAATTTTCCAGCAGCAGTGATAAATTGTAATCTAAAATCTTTACTCATTTCTGTGGGACTATGAAGCAGCAACTCTGCTTCTAAGCACTGTTTTGGCCTACTCTAATTTTCTTTGTTTTCCTCTGTTCCTGGTGGTGCCCACTATAAAACTGCTTTACTGGTAGTGTTCCAGAATAGAATTTTATTGCAACCATATTCTTTCCTTCACAGATTTATTTTAAAATATATATTTTTAATAATTAAAAATTTTCAATTTCCCAACTTTAAGTATCTGGAGTACAGACAAACTAATACTGCCTTCTCAAGGTGAATAGGGAGGGTAATACCAAATTCCCAAACAATTAACCGTATCAAGTAGATCGTGTTCATAGCAATGACCAAATGGGTGAGTAGTTGAAGTGCAGTATATTATCATTAGTTCAAAGTTTAATAACCTCTTGAAATGGAGCATTTTTTAAAGTAAACTTTTTAAGTCCTAAATATTGTGGGAGAATTGGCATTTGCTTCATTATTTTCATGGCACAGACAAAAGTTTCTAGCATTGATTCTAAAATAATTACTTTTCAAAAAGATGTTTGAGAAATACATCAATTAGTTATTTTCATCAATTACAGATAACGTGGTGTGTGTTGCTACATTCAACAAATATTTAAAAAGTTCACCCAAATTTTTGAATGAAAGCAGTGAGTGCCACTTTTAAGAATTGCAAAGCAGCCCCAGAGGATGGAACAACAGCAACAGAATTACATTTATAGAGCGTCTTTCACTTCGGGAGAATGTCCCAAGGCACTGGACAGTCAGAGGTCAGGACCCGAGGGTGGGGGAGGGGTGGTGTAGGGGTGAGAGAAGGCAGAGAAGTGGGAGGGCGTCCGAAGGCACAATCAAAGAGGAGGATCTTGAGACTGGCCTTGAAGGAGGCAAGGGAGGAAGCGAGGTGAAGGGACTGTGGGATGGAGTTCCAGAATGTGGGGGCAGAGAGGCTGAAAGCTCAGCCACCGATGGCAGGGCGGGTCGGGCGCAAGACATGGAGCAGACCGGAGCTCGCTGAACGGAGGGAACAGGCAGGTTGGGAGGGATTCAGCAGGTCAGAGAGGTAGGAGGGGGCAAAGCCATGGATGGCCTTGAAAGTGAGGACGAGGATCTTGAATTCGATCCTCTGGGAGATGGGGAGCCAGTGGAGTCGGGCGAGGGTGGGAGTGATGGGGTCACGGAGCCTGGTGCGTGAGAGTACACGAGCTGCAGAGTTTTGGATGATCTGCAGCTTGTGTGGGGAAGAGTTGGGAAGGCCGATGAGGAGGGGAATTTCCATAATTGAGCCTTGATGTAGCGAATGCGTGGGTGAGGGTTTCGGCAGCCTGAGGGGTGAGGCAGTGGCGGAGTCTGGCAATGTTGTGGAGGTGGTGGTAGGCAGTGCCGGTCATGGCACGGATGTGGGGGAGAAAGGACAGTTCAGGGTCAAACAAGACACCCAAGTTCCTGACTGGCTTAGTGAGGTGTGTGTGCAGCCATGGAGACTGATACTGATGCTGCCAGCGCCCGAAGGAATGAAATGAGGGGTTGTGAATCATTATAATGATCCAACATCTGTTGAAACACATATACACACTTTGTTTCACCTTAGGTCCCATAGGTTTGATAAATCTTTCAAAACAGGATTGAACAGTGAGTGTGTTTGGTGACTGTGCTGCCCGTGTCTAGTGCTGCTCAATGTGCCTAACACCAACGTCAATAATAATTTGTATATTTGATACAGCACTTCATCACTTTGTCGAGACGTCTCAAAGCGCTTCACAGAATATACTGCGAAACGAATTGACTGTATATTTCGGTGGTCAAAACGCGGCAGCCAATGGCGCACAGCAAGCGAACCACAGACGGTTGTGGGTTGTTGAGTGACCAAATTATCAATTTTTTTTGAAGGATTACCCCAGAAAAGCGATCCGCTAATTGACGAACAACAACAAGAACAAAATTACATTTGTAAAGCGCCTTTCACATCGGGGGAGGAGGGGGGGAGGAGGAGGGCCATAACAACTGAGTTCCCACTTACTGCCGAGGTGTAAACACAGGTGTGTGTGTGTGAGGGTGTGTGTGTGTGAGGGTGTGTGGGGGGGGGCGGGGGTGTGTGTGTGTGGGGGGGGTGTGTGGGGTGTGTGTGTGTGGGGGGTGTGTGTGGGGGGGTGTGGGGGTGTGTGTGTGTGTGGGGGTGTGTGGGTGTGTGTGGGTGTGTGTGGGGGGGGGGGTGTGTGTGGGTGTGTGTGTGTGTGGGGGTGGGTGGGTGTGTGTGTGTGGGTGTGTTGTGGGTGGGGTGTGTGTGGGTGTGTGTGTGGGGGGGTGGGGGTGTGGGGGGGGGTGTGGGGTGGGGTGTGGGGGGGGTGTGGGGGGGGGGTGTGGGTGGGTGTGTGGGGTGTGTGTGTGTGGGGGGGGTGTGTGTGTGGGTGTGTATGTGGGTGGGGTGTGTGTGGGTGTGTGTGTGGGGGTGTGTGTGTGGGGGTGGGGGTGTGGGGGGTGTGGGGGGGGGTGTGGGGGGGGGGTGTGGGTGGGTGTGTGGGGTGTGTGTGTGGGGTGTGTGTGTGGGGGTGTGTGTGGGTGTGTGTGGGGGTGTGTGTGGGGTGGGGTGTGGGGGGGGGTGGGGGTGGGGGTGTGGGGGGGTGTTGGGGGGTGTGTGGTGTGTGTGTGTGGGGGGGTGTGTGTGTGGGGGGGTGTGTGGTGGGGTGGGGGTGGGGGGGGGTTGGTGGGTGTGTGTGTGGGGTGTGTGTGGGGTGTGTGTGTGGGGTGTGGTGTGTGGTGGGGGGTGTGTGTGTGTGGGTGTGAGGGGGGAGTAAAGGAAACTCGCCTCAGGTCTCGTCCTGTCTGTCGGGGGGTAAACAGGAAGAGCGCACTCACCGCACTGTCACAGCAAAAAGATTTCAAACCGTACAAAACCCGACGCCACAAGTGAGTCCGGGTCCCAACCTCCGGGGTCCCCCTCCCCCTCCGGGGTCCCCCTCCCCCTCCGGGGTCCCCCTCCCCCTCCGGGGTCCACCCCCTCCGAGGTCCCCCCCCCTCCGGGGTCGCCCTCCCCCTCATCAGCGACAGTGGCGCAGTTTGATCCGTTTGAACCCCCACTTTTACGGCGATTCCCTTCGGTTCATGAACTCACCCACTCGTTGGCTTTGTGACTGAAAGTGTAAAGCGCGACCTGACTCGCCACGTCCACGATGTTGCAGATGTAGGGATCGCGCCTCTGCAGCGCCGCCAAACTGATCCCCAACCCCCGCGCCGCCAGACTGACCCCCAGCCCCCGCCCCCCGCCCCGCGCCGCCAGACTGACCCCCAGCCCCGCCCCCGCCCCGCGCCGCCAGACTGACCCCCAGCCCCCGCGCCGCCAGACTGACCCCCAGCCCCCGCCCCCGCCCCGCGCCGCCGCCATCACCCACAGCAGCCAGGCCGGGCAGCAGCGCCCAGAGACATCGAGCCCAGCACAGACAAGGCCACAGAGCCGCCCACAGAGACATCGAGCAGCACTGCAGACAGACAGCACAGCCCCACACACACACACACACACACACACACACACAGCCACACACACACACACACACACACACACACACACACACACACACACACACACACAGCCACACACTGAACACACAGCCACACACACACACTGAACACACAGCCACACACACACACACACTGACACACACAGCCACACACACACACACACACTGAACACACAGCCACACACACACAAACACACAGCCACACACACACACACACATACACACACACACACACCACACACACACACACACACATACACACACACACCACAACACACACACACCACACCACATACACACACACATACACACACACACACATACACACACACATACACACACACACACAGCCACACACACATACACACACACAGCCACACACACACACAAAAACACATACACACACACACACACAGCCACACACACACACACACACACAGCCACACACACACCACACACTGAACACACAACCACACACATACACACACACACACACACACACACTGAACACACACACACACATACACACACACAGCCACACACACACACACATACACACACACAGCCACACACACACAGCCACACACACACACAGCCAAACACACACATACACAGCCACACACACACATACACACATACACAGCCACACACACACTGAACACACAGCCACACACACATACACACACATACACACAGCCACACACAGCCACACACACACACACATACACACACACATACATACACACAGCCACACATACACACACACACACAGCCACATACACACACACACACACATACACACAGCCACACACACACACATACACACAGCCACACACACATACACACAGCCACACACACACTGAACACACAGCCACACACACACACAGCCACACACACACACACTGAACACACAGCCACACACACACACACATACACATACACACAGCCACACACACACACATACACATACACACAGCCACACACACACACATACACACAGCCACACACACACACACTGAACACACAGCCACACACACACATACACACAGCCACACACACAGCCACATACACACACACAGCCATACACAGACAGCTACACACACACACAGCCACATACACACACACAGCCACACACACACACAGCCACACACACACATACACACACCACACACAGCCACACACATACACAGCCACACACACACACACACACACATACACACACAGCCACACACATACACAGCCACACACACACACACACACACACACACACAGCCACACACATACACACAGCCACACACACACAGCCACACACACACACACACACAGCCACACACACACACACACACAGCCACACACACACACAGCCACACACACACACACAGCCACACACACACACACAGCCACACATACACACAGCCACACACACACAGCCACACACATACACACAGCCACACACACACACACATACACACAGCCACACACATACACACAGCCACACACAGACACTGACACACACATACACACAGCCACACACACATACACTGAACACACAGCCACACACACACATACACCACACACAAACCACACACTGAACACACAGCCACACACACACTGAACACACAGCCACACATACAGCCACACACACATACACACACAGGCACACAGCCATACACCACACACACAGGCACACACACATATACACAGCCACACACACATACACACACAGGCACACAGCCATACACCACACACACATATACACAGCCACACACACAGGCACATACACACACAGGCACACAGCCGTACACCAAACACACAGCCACACACACATACACACACACACACATACACACACATACAGCCACACACACATACACACACATACAGCCACACACACACACACATACACACACATACAGCCACACACACACACACACACACATACAGCCACACACACACATACAGCGACACACACACAGGCACCACACACAGCCATACACCACACACACAGCCATACACCACACACACAGCCACACACACACACACACACACAGCCATACACCACACACAGCCATACACACATACACCACACACACACAGCCACATACACACAGCCATATACACCACACACACAGCCACATACACACAGCCACATACACCACACATACACACAGCCACATACAGCCACCCACACACATACACACAGCCATACATACATACAAACACACACAGCCATACACACACACACACATAAACACACACACATACACACAGCCACACACACACACACAGGCACATACACACAGCCACACACATACACAGGCACACACACACACATACACAGGCACACACACACATAGGCACATACACACACACAGCCATACACACAGGCACAGGCACACACAGGCACATACACAGGCACATACACACAGGCACATATAAAGCCACAGGCACATACACACACAGCCACACACACACAGGCACAGCCACACACATAAGCACATACACACGCACACATATACATACAGGCACATACACATTCACAGGCACACACACACACAGGCACAGCCACACACACAAGCACATACACAGGCACATATACACACACAGGCACATACACACACACAGCCACACACACAGGCACATACACACACAGGCACACACATACAGGTACATACACACAAGCACACATACATATACAGCCACACATACACACAGGTTCATACACACACACAGGCACACACACACACAGCCACACATGCACAGGCACATACACACAGCCATACACACAGGCACATACACACACACACAGGCACATACACACACAACCACACACTCACAGGCACAGCCACACACACAAGCACATACACAGGCACATACACACACACAGGCACATACACACACAGCCACACACACACAGGCACATACACACACACAGGCACATACACAGCCACACAGGCACATACACACACACACAGGCACACACACACACACACAGGCACATACACACGCAGCCACACACAGGCACACACAGCCACACACACAGGCACATACACACATACACAGGCACGTACCCACACAGGCACATACACACACAGGCACACAGGCACATACACAGCCACACGCACAGGCACACAGGTACATACACACAAGCACACATACATATACAGCCACACATACACACAGGTTCATACACACACACAGGCACACACACACACAGCCACACATGCACAGGCACATACACACAGCCACCCATACACAGCCATACACAAAGGCACACACACACACACACAGACATACACGCAGCCACACATGCAGCCACACAGACACAGGCACAGACATACACACAGACATACACACAGACATACACACGCAGCCACACACACAGACATACACACACACAGCCACACACATACAAGGCCACACACACACAGACAGCCACACACACACAGACAGCAACACACAGACATAAACACATACACAAATACACACACAACAACAAGATTACATTTGTATAGCGCCTTTCACGTTGGGAGGACATCCCAACACATACACACACAAACACACACACACAGACATCCACGCACAGACAGATATACACACAGACATACACACACAAGAAGATTACATTTGTATAGCACCTTTCACGTTGGGAGGACATCCCAACACACACACTTACACACACAGGCACACACACACTCAGACAGATGTACACACACAGATGTACACACACAGATATACACACACAGATATACACACACACAGACATACATACACACACGCTGAACAGCTGGAACAGGTATTGAACAAGAAAAAATTGAATTTCACAGATACACCCCAGGGAATTATACACACACATAAAAATTATGCAAGCAAAAAATAAAAATTATGCAAAATTATCCTATTTTTGCAATTCAAATATAGGATAACACTATTGTAGCCTCTTTAGAAAGATATGGAGCCCAGTTTTCATGAATGTTGTATTTATGTGGCACATTTATTTATATAGCATATTTTTGTATTTATTGATCAATCGTGCCTCCCACTCAAGCTCTCTTCCCATCGCTCTCATGCTGCCTCATACCTCCCACCACTCTGGCTTCTCCTCCAACCCCCGTACCGTCTTGTGCAGCATTCCTCAGGGCTCTGACTTGGTTCCCTCCTCTTCAATATCTATATGCTCCCTCTTGGTGACACCATCAGCAGACATGGGGTCAACTTCCACATGTATGTGGATGACACCCAACTCTATCTCTCTGCCTCCACCCTCGACTCCAGGACCACTGCTGTGCTGACAGAATGTCTGTCAGACATCAAGTCCTGGATGAGCACTAACTTTCTCCAGTTGAACGTCAACAAGACTGATTGGTTCCCGTCAGTGCCTCCACACCTCAGGCCCTGGCAACATCACCATCCATGGATGCACGCTCCACCTTGCTAAGCCAGCCCGGAACCTTGTCGTCTTGTTTGACCCTCGGCTCTCCTTTATATCCCACATCATGCAATGACCCGTTCTGCCTTTCCCCACCTATGCAACATTGCCCAACTCTGCCACTGTCTCTTCCCTCAGGCTGCCGAAACTCTCATTCATGCATTGATTACACATAGGCTCGACTATGCTAACTCCTAACTCCTATGCTAACTCCCTGGTTGTCAGCCTTCCCAACTCTTCCCTCCACAAGCTGTAGATCATTCAGAACTCTGCAGCTTGTGTCCTCTCTTCCACCAGGTGCCGTGACCCTATCACCCACACCCTTGCCTGGCTCCACTGGCTCCCCACCGCCCAGAGGATAGGGCTCAAAATCCTCATTCGCACCTTCATAGACCTCCACAGCGTTGCTCCTCCCTACCTCTGTGAGCTGCTAATTCT